ATTTATATTATAATAATAAAGCCATTTTATAATTATTTAATAAAATAGTTCTTTACTTTAATTTGTTAAGAGAGCTTTAGGGGGGCAGGATCAATGATGATGATTATTTTATTTCAAGCCTGTAAGACTTATTTGAGTTCATATTTAGGTTATTCACTAAAATATACACTAAAATATATCATTTAAATCGTTCATGGAAATTAATGCAGTAAATAGTCTGTATAAAAAAGTTAAAAAATAAACCTGTGCAAACAAGCTAACCTTTATAACCAGATAATTTAACAAAAGATGATTACTGCAGTAAAATATTTGTAGTCTTTTAATAAGCATGACGTGTACAGGATAGAGAGGGTGTGAAAAGTGAATTGTTTGTTTTGAAACTTTTGAATCGGAATTTGTCCAATTATAAACCCGAAATACACGTGTTTGTTGTCATGTGGTGAACTCGGCCAATCGTGTAATATCGGTGTCGTCATCAAAGCTCCTGCAGTCGCTCTTCAGAAGCTGCACGGTCTGAGTTTGCCGTCTGATCTCGGAGCGCTGTCGCGGTACTTTGTTGCCACATGTGACAGTCACGTGGCGTCGGCGCAGCATCAATCCGGACAAGATTTCTAACCAGAATGCACCGCTTTAAGACAGATTTCGATCGATCTGCGCAGCGCTGCATGAAGTCGAACGCACCTAATATAATAGTGCTGCTTTACTACTGGCTAGAGCTGAAAATAAACACTGCTTGCAGAAGTTTAGACAAGTCAGAAAAATAGCCAATCAGAATGCAAAAAATGTCTTTAGTATTTAAAGGTGACAACTTATAATTCTTTTAAATAATTTATAACTATTCTTTAATTAAAGATAAGACAAAGTCCCCATAAAGAAATAATTTAATTATAGGCACAAAATGTAAGATTTACATTCATAAAACTATCTGAATACTAATATCCATTGTTTTGTGTGTGTTACATGTACTGTTTGCCATTTAGTGTTTTAGGTCAGGATGTTGTGGTTGTTTATAACATTCTTATTTCTAGTGCATCTGACTTGTGAATCCAGCTTGTGTCATTTATATAATAATGCTGTTTTACTATTTGCTAGAGCTGAAAATAAACACTGATTGCAGAAATTGAGACAAGATAGGAAAACAGCCTATCAGAATTAGAATATCTGCCAAGGTTTTTAGTCATTCATAGTGTTTTAAAGCCTAAAAGGCTGTTCACACTACAGACTATAAATATAAATATAATCACGAGCAAATAATTACGATCTGTTTGTTTTTAGTTAGTTTTTTTGTGCATTACAACACTGTAACCAGCAGATGTCCTCAGTGTGCTGCGTTACTGATGCATCTGACCAGTGAATCCAGCTCATGTAATTGATATAATAGTGCTGCTTTACTACTGGCTAGAGCTGAAAATAAACACTGCTTGCAGAAATTGAGACAAGATAGGAAAACAGCCTATCAGAATTAGAATACCTGCCAAGGTTATACCTGCCAAGCCCTCCCTCTAAAACTTTTGCGATTACCTTATGAACTGTACACTACTAAATGATCGCCTCAGTCCCCTTTAAATTTGATATAAAAATAGTGGTGAAATGATCCAAAAAATCTTTTAAATTGTCATCCAAACCGGTTTGCTTTTTTATTCTGTTGAACCCAAAAGAAGATATTTTGAAGAAAGCTGGACACCTGTAACCATTGACTTCCATAGTATTTGCTTTATCTTCTGTGGAAGTCAATAGCTACAGGAAACCGATGTTTAGTATAGCAAATGAATCAAACTTTCGTCGTTTCTTTGCCTACTTTTAAAATTTGGATTGGGTGAGTAACAGTACACCACCTTATATTAGGACTACACCACTGACACATACGTACTGTACATACATACATCTGGAATAATCTGGATGTATTATAAAGTTGATGATGACATCATTGCCATAGAAAAGTTTAGAAAAGTCAGAAAAATAGCCAATCAGAATGCAAAAAATGTCTTTAGTATTTAAAGGTGACAACTTACAATTCTTTTAAATAATTTATAACATATGCAAAACAGATATTATACACATTTAACATGTTTGGATTTTACAGATATAAAAATATACACATACAAATATTATATTACAAAACATATATTTTTATATACTGCAAAAATGGTAGTTTAAATACTATAAAACATGTTTAAATATTGGAAATATTTTTTATATACAGTATAAGTTCATATTTGGACATATTTTAGATTTCCCCATAACAGATAACTAATCACGAAACAATTTTATAATCCCAGTTATTTCTTTATTCAGCTCTACTTTATAATCTAGTCAGCCCTTATTTTCCAGTTCATCCTTAAAAAGTGACTTTGAAAAAATCTACAATGTAAAAGTAGCCAAATAAAGATGATTTGACTGTAATTTAAGCAAAGAGGATTTTTATTTGCTTTACAAATGCTGAAATTGCTTTTATTTTGTAACCGTTTCTCACTCATTCACATTCAGACACTGTAACTTCACTAAACATCTCAACTCAAAACTAATACAGGAAGAAAAAACTCATTTAATTTCAATGTTTTTATATAAAAAGCCAGGCAAAAAATAATGTACAAGCATTTACTGTATACAAAAACAATAATTTAGCACTAGCTGACTGTTTATGTCTATAAAAGTTTATAAAAGGCATGTTAAATACTTAAATATTAACTTAATATGCATCCCAACGTCTAAATTCCATAATAACTTGATCTGCAGTCAAACATCCAGTTAACAAGAAGTATTAAATACAGTTCAATGAGTCTGTTAGCATGAAAACAAATGTTTCTCTGACCCAGCAGAAGTTTAGAGTAAAAACTCTACCATTATTACAATTAATCCTCATTACAACACTGTATAAAAGCATCACGCAACATTCAAAAGTGGCATCACTTATGTAATGTTTAAAAGCAAAGCCAAATGCCTCGAAATCTGTTATTCTAAATAGGGCTGCACAATATATCAGAAAAATAATAATAATAGCAAATAATAAAAGTAAAAATAATAATATATGCAATATCTGTATTGCAGAGCGGTGCAATTAATTAAACTGATTTGATGTGGCAACCATTTGTTTGTTGCATGCATAGATTGTTTATCCAAATTTGACCAATCAGATGAGGCTGTACAATCTTTATACCCGCCTCCTCAGTAGGTGCTGTTTTACTATTGGCTAGAGCTAAAAATAAACACAGCCAATCAGAATCAGAATACCCAAAGTCACTCAAAGTGTTATTATGTCTAAACTATAGACGATAACTATAAATAAAAATATAATGATGATATATTTGTGTCTACACCAGCAAATTATTACAATCTGTTTATTTTTAGCTTGTTTTTTGTGAATTATACCACTGTAACCAGCAGGTGTCCTCAGTATGCTGTGTTTCTAGTGCATCTGACAAGTGAATCCAGCTTGTGTAATCAGTATACCTGCTGAGGTTTTTAGTCATTCATTGGGTTATAATGTCTAAAGGGCTGTTCACACTATAGACTATAAATATAATGATGATATATTTGTGTCTACACCAGCAAATGATAACAATCTATTTATTTTTATTTGTTTATTTTTCTTTGTAACCAGCAGATGTCCTCAGCGTGCTGCGTTTCTATTGCATCTGATCAGTGAATCCAGCTTGTGTAATTGATATAATAGTGCTGTTTTACTATTGGTTAGAGCTGAAAATAAATACTGAAGCAGATGTTGAGACAAGACAGGAAAAAAGCTAATCAGAATCAGTATACCTGCCGAGGTTTTCAGTCATTCAGTCTCTTAATGTCTAAAGTTAATGTTTCACACTATAGACTATAACTAAAAACAGAAATATAATGATGATATATTTGTGTCTACACCAGCAATTTATTTATTTTTAGTTGTTTATTTTTAATTGTAACCAGCAGATGTACTTAAAGTGCTGCGTTTCTAGTGCATTTGACCAGTGAATCCAGCTTGTGTAATTAATCTAACAGTAATTTAGCAGTCAGAGTAGTGAAATAAAAACAACAAATATTTTTTAATAAGGAAACACAAAGATGACTAAACTATACTAGCAAAGCTTAATTTGTGCGGGAACAAGCTGGATTCGGATCCAGCACCTCTGAAATCTGATCCGGCACCTCTTTATACTGATCCCCCTCTTCAAACGCATCCCCCGCCCTACTGTTCACTTTCCTCCGCGACTCCCCAACCCTCTTCGCTTTTATACGTGAAACCCCCTGGTTTCAATGTCGTCTGCGACACATCTCCCCCCACCCATCACCCCATCCCTCGCAATTTACAAATTAAGCACTGAATACTAGATACCGGAGTAGCTTTCATTCTTAAATTTTAATTTGCTAGCCTGTTTAGCTTAAAAGTCATCCCAACGATATCGTTTCTCTACATCTTTATCATTATAGCTGTGGTCTGAAATATTTACAATTGTTATCTTTATAGTTATCGTGCTTCATTTGAATGAACATGTTTGTTTTTTTTGTCTAAATTAGATTTAAATAGATCATAAAAAATATCTATTACCTGTTTATTTTGTATGATCATAACATAAATAAATTATTAAAATTTAAAATAGCATGCCTCTAGACTAGAGAAATGTTACATCACAAGAAATATTATTGCAAGACATATCAAAAACATTGCATATTTTCGCAGTATCGTGTTTTCATTTTTGAACGGTAATATGCAAAATGTAATATATTAAATGTCAATGTATGACCAGCCTGATCTCACGAGGAAACAAATATTTTACGCTTTGTTAATGTAGCGGCTAATTTATACAAATTTATACGAGTTCTGTCATGCGAAAATGTACAATTTTTTAAAAGGAGGCGTGGCACTAAACCCCGCCCCTAAACCAAGTCGTCATTGGGAGATGAGCAATTCTTACTAATTTATAGAAATAAAATCATACAAATTCATTCGAATTAGCCACTAAATCAAAAAGTTGCGAATTACCGTGATTTTGTTGGCATTTCTGTTTATTGGCTAATTTATACAAATTTATACGAGTTCAGTCGTGCGAAAATGTACGATTTTTTAAAAGGAGGCGTGGCACCAAACCCCGCCCCTAAACCCAGTCGTCATTGGGAGATGAGCAATTCTTACTATATTATAGGAATAAAATCAAACAAAATAAAAAAAGTAATGAATTACCATGATATTGTTGGTATATCTGTATGTATATTTGCATTTTCCAAGACATGCAAAATTTGGTGCAAAATGGAAATGAATTTATATAATTTACATTTGCCATTTCCAACCACAGTATTAAAATGTAAATTGCATACTCAATTAATCGCTTAATTAGATGCTAAATCAAATTGTACGTACAAGCAGAAATACGTACAAGCAGAAATGGCAGCAAAATTATATTATTAAATTAAAATGCACCAAACTTTGCTCATAGACCATGGAGAATGCAAGTATTTAAGTAAATGCAATGTCCTTTTACATATTGCATATTACATTTCTGAGCTACTGATATATCGTGCAGCCCTCATAGTAAACTTAAAGTACTTTCAAAGCGCAGTGTGCATCCGAGTGTGCACTTTAGCACCCAAAAGTCTTGTATTTCATGTCATCCTTTGCAGAACGTTGAGTTTAAAGGCTCAAATGTAAGGCCACGTTGTGTGCTGTGAAATAAAAACATGGTCTTTGGATTCAGATGTGCAGTCCGGTGTGCAAAAACTCACAAACTCTCAGATGTTGTCCTCCTTCAGTCACAAACACTCCAGCAGGTTGGTGAATGTGATGTTTTTTCCTCCAGCACATGACTTTCTGTCTGCGCTTGTCTTAGTTTGCGCTCATCTTGCTGGAGATCCAATTTGTGTATTTGGTGACGCGTGTGTAAACTCCAGGCGTGTCCTTTTTCCCACAGCCGTCGCCCCAGCTGATCAAACCCATCAGAGTCATCCTGCCGTTCTTCTGACACACCAGAGGACCACCAGAATCCCCCTGAAGAAGATCAAGGTTATTTTAGTAAACGAAGAATTAAGCTATTTAGTTAACTTAAAGGGTCACGAAACACCAAAACACATTTTTTGAGCTGTTGACAGTGGTATATGTGTCCCACACTGCTATAAACACTATTAGGACACCTATATTTCACTAAAAAGTGTAAATTGGTTGTTTTTGCGTTATTTCAAGCAAATTCGTACTTCCTGTTTGAAACGAATTTTTGAAGCTGCGTCACGGTCATGACATAATAGCGTGTATTCCAGCGTGCAGACTGGACGCCTGTGCCAGAGTGAGTCTTATTACGTCTTACAGTGTGCTGCATTAATGCATGAGTAAGGCTTGGTTCAAACCAATCAGCGCGCTCTATTGTGCAACTTCATTAATATTCATTACTATCACCGTGTTTTCAGGACAGAGACGCCACGTTGTGTTGGCAAAACAAGCGTGAAGTGTTGCTTTTATAGTTTGCTGCAGTGAAGTTTTGTTTTCATTTTCTCTCTGTGAGAGCTCAGACTCACGTGTGGATTAACAGTGTACGCGACGCGCGACAACAATGACTCACGTGTCTAAGGAGGATTATTGTTTACCTGAGAGCTGTTCTCATCTGCAAACGCTGAGATCCGGATTCGCTGCTCGTCTCCTCTTAATAAAGACGCGGCTCTAGTTGCTGGTGATTGTCCTGTCTCTACAGATTTGGTAAGTGAGCGACCAGTGCTCTTTGTTTATTCAGTTTGTTCGTATCTAACAAACTATTGCACAGAGTGTAAACACGTTAGCACCACAACCAAACTTTAACCTCGTGTAGGATTTTCACCGCATTTAGTGACCGGAATAACACACGCGGCTTTCTGACACTACCTGCCGTGTGCATCTAAGTTTCTGGGAAATGCTGAGTTTTTTTTTCTCTCATTCGCCGTGCGGTATCAAACATTGCATGAAAAATACACGCTTAGAGCAGCTCCTCGAATCAAATATCTCGTTTGTCGTGAGGGGCATGAATGAATTCCCTGAATGAAAGAGCCAAACTGCAGTTAAAGTCCACCATTTAATAATTTGCCAAATAATTCGACTACAGATGTCCATGTAGGTTAAACACCATCACTTTCTGCTGTATGTGTGTGTGTGTGTGTGTGTGTGTGTGTATTTTGACTCTGAAACTCGCGCGTGCCCAAATAGACACTCCCACACCATCCCACTTTAGTTCCTCCGACACTCCCCCCTAAACAGAGCTGGACACGCCCACTTTTCTGACTTTTTCCAAAGTAGAGGTGTGAAAACACCCTGCTGAAACGAGAGGGTTTCATGGCCCTTTAAATAATGAGAATTGGATCTGGGGGAGGTCGATTCAGATTTGATCTCCAAGGCTCTGCGCTGGTTGTGGAGATTCTTAACTTTACCTTGCAGGCATCGTCCAGCCCTCGGGTGTCTCCAGCGCACAGCATGTTTGAGGTGACCAGTCGACCAGACAGTTTTTCAGGGACACACTGATCCTGCGGCCACAGACGCACCAGACCACGCTTGATCCTCTC